AGTATATGACACTTTTTTAATATTAACTAACGTATTTTTCGGTAGATGCTTCCAGCCCTGGTGCAAGGAAACCGACTGTCTGTAGCTGTTTGTGAGATAAAATAAGGCTTTTTTTCTCTCCTACAGCTAGAACATTACATCTTAATAAATGACATGCAGTCTAGCGTACATGCTGTACTGTAAGGCAGTGCTTTTAATTGGAAGAATGAATTATAAAACAGATATTTGCACCTTCTGCCAGCCTGTTTTGGAGAAACACAATTAACTAACCAGTAAACAGCCTATTTGCGACACACTATTTTTATTCCATTTTAATGATTTATTTTAGCACTGTATCTTTAGCACTCGTATTTTTAAAAAAAGCATTTTACTTTGGTTAACCCAATCTGAATTCCAATACCTCTGTCCAAACCACAAAATTTAAACCCGTTTGCACCAAGATCAGAATTCTGGCAATAACATTCAGTTCTAAATAAAAAAAAAATGTCTGCGTTCCACTGCATTATTTGTGCATATGGGTTTGAGTTTGTGTGTGTGAGTGTGTTTGTGGGGGGGAGTGGGGGTGATCGGAGACTCCAAGCCAATTACCACATCCACCAGACATCCTCAGACTGCCTGAGCCTTCCTTCCAATAAGAGTACGGCTGCAAAGAGCTGGGGCCTGAGGTGGTTGCCATGGCAACTCAGGGCCTGCTTGCATGGCGGATGATGCTGGGGTGATGGATTACAGTAATGGGATGGGGTGTGCGGGAAGGGAGGGGTGAGTGGAGAGAACTCATGCATAAATATATTGGAAATGTATGAATAAATCTGAAATGCATAGACTTAAAGGACACAGAGGAGGAGAGTGGATGGAGGATGTTTAACATGGGTCTGAAATTCATAGATATGTGGCTTTATGAAGGTATATTGTCTCAACGAGTTCCTTTATAAAGATGTTTGGGATGTTGAACTTAAACCAACTTATGAGACAGTAATATTTGAGATTTTACGGTTTAAAAAGTCTATTTAAATAATAATAATATGCTTTATATGTAACTCGCACATTTCTACATGCCTTTCCTGAGTGCTGAAATATTAATGTATATATACAGGCTTTAAACAGCCTAATTTTAACTCTACATAACTCTTTTTTTTCAAGCTTTTTATATTTTCTGAAGGAATCTGAGACCCAGGGTCCTGCTGCGTTCTAATGCATGAAATCTGTTACTAGTCTGCCATCTAGTGTTAGTCACAACATGTACAACATGTATACCACTGTGACAAGCACTAACTAGCATTAACCAGAAATTAAAAATGGTCTTTTTTAAAAAATGGTCTTTTTTTTATCAAGGCCTTGATTTATCAAGGTTAAATGACTCAATCCTGAGTCATTTAACTACAGTGTTGTTATTGTTATCCAAAAACTACCAAAAATAATTTACATTATAAATGAAATAGTTGAAAAACTTAAATTTACTTTTGCAACTAACTAAAATTAAACGGAAATACATATAATTGAAAGCTAAATAGCAATAAAAAAACTGTAGCACTTCATTTTACAGTTCTGTTCCGCATGTACATACTATATACTTTTATAATAATTACAAAAACTATAGTAGTATAATATAAGGTAACTAGGGGTTAGGATTAACCCTAACCCCTAGTTACCTTATATCACCCAATACTTTCTTAGGTAAGTAGTCTACACTGTACACATACTTTAAAATATTTTAAAGGTGTCATTGGTACAGTGTAATTATATATTTAAGAGTAATATTAAGAAATGACATATACTTACTTTAGGGTTAGGTAGGATTAGGATTTGGTTGAGGGTTAGTTGCATTTAGTTATGCATCATTTACTGTTATTACTATGGTAAGTACATGTAACAACAAGGACACTTTAAAATGAAGTGTTACCAAATAAAGTAAATAAAAACCTAAAAAAGAAAGAAAGAAATCTCAAAAGCACATTAAATTACAAAAACTTTAACTAAAAGTTAAATGAAAATAAATAAATAAATAAATAAAACAAAGGTTAATTCAGAATATGAATCCATGCTTTATACTAAAATAATACTGTTTAACATGATCTGCCACCTTTATTTCTTAACCCTTATATTCTTGATAACCCCTCCATAACATTGCACATTTGTTTACCTTATCTTTTTAGATATATTTAGTTAGAAATAAACATGGTCAATTTTACAAATATAGTATTTGTCCTTGATTTACCTTAGATGTGCAACAGAGAACGTGAACAGTGAGCACAAACTGGAGGGCAGCAGTTGTAAGGGCACATTTCATCTGTTAATCAGAGCCTTTCTCGGGTTACATCAAGGTCAGACACCAGTGCTGTTCCCACAGGGTGACGTTTGAGTCATGGGAAACCAAACACACTGACACTCACAACCTTTGCTGGAAAAATAAAACAAAAACAAGAAGAAATACACACAGAATCCATCTATTAAATTAAGATATTTAAAAAAAATAAGATAAATCAAATTTAGGCTTTTATTTACATGTAAACATTAATCGGTGAAACAAAAGCTCAGCTGTAGGCCTACTTATGTTGATGTGTAAGAACAAACCTCATGGGTTCTTGGGAAAGCTCGAATGAACCTCATTGGTTCTTGCAGAAGCTCAAACGTGCTGCGTAACACGACAATTAACCTCATTTGGTTCTTGCACAGTCCATTGGACTAAACCGCATGTGGATTCATTTTAATTTTTACAATCTCTTTATGACCTTTTTGAAGCGTTAACGTGGTAGCTTTATGGACTGTCAATGGAGGGACAGAAATCTCTTGTATTTCACTAATATAAAGTTGGTTTGATGTTGGACGTTCCACATTCACAAATTTAGAGACCATCTCTGAAGTTAGATATAACACGTTTCTAACTTCAATAGCATTTAAAGAGAATGACTTACAGTCACAAAACCAGTTTAACCAACTGTAATTGTTCATGGTATCAGCTATAATGCACATAGCACACCTTTTAGATTTTTGATATTTAATAAAATAATTGTCAAATCATGTGTAAAAATGGCTATTTATTTTATTATCAAATGGGCTCAAACACAAAATAATTTAAAGCACAATAGCATTTGAGGAGAATGACTTACCCTACTAATAAACTAAGTCTTATAAAACATAATGTAGGTGTATGTAGGCTTCATGTAGGTGTCTGGTGTCAAATGCACTTGCACACTTTTAAGTTTTTTATTAAAGTAAATTCTTATTAAATGCTGTTAAGCTTTCAAAAGGCTATGGTTTGTGTATAAGCCTTTTGGTAGCCTATAGTGAAATAAATAAATAACAATTTTTACACATGATTTGACGGTTTATTTTAACAAATACCAAAAATCTAAAGTGTGTATCACACCTGAAACCTACAGAAACACTTTACAGTTGGTTTTATGATGGTAAGTCATCCTCTTCTATGCTATTTAAGTTAGAATCGTGCGTTTACCGATGTCGTGTAACTTTAGACACACTCGGATGAACCGGTCTGGTGTGTAAACTAACTAACTAACCATTTAATGTGCTTAATTTAACCCTTTATTTAATTATGTTATCAACTAGGGTGATAAGCGGGCACAACAACACGGGGCTGGCAAGTGGTAACACACATGGTTTGAAACTTTCCACACATGCCAGTATGACGAAACAGTAAGGCTATATCAACACCAAGAATTGTGCCAAAATTAAATCAATCTTTGGAAGATATCACTGAACATTTGAAGAGTTCAGATGCAAAAGCCTCTAACTGCCATTTGAAATTTTCTTCTAATGATCATTTTTATCAAGCTTGTATATTTAAGTTCAGTGATTTCACTTAAATGGCAATGATGATTACCCATTAATTGTTATTTAAGTGAAATTACTGAACTTAAATATACAAGTTTGATAAAAAATCATCATTCAAGAAGAAAATTTCAAATGGCATTTAGAGGCTTTTGCATCTGAACTCTTCATTTATTTAATAGCAAAAGTACATTTCTTCATTTTTCATCTCTGTTTTATGTTTATTTAAGATTAGACAAATCTGATATTATTTTAATCTTATATGTGCTATTTAACAGTTGAGATAATGCTGATGCTGTTACTTTTATGAATCCCAGATAGCACAAGTCTATTTGATGTGATGTTTACATCTAGAAGACGTATTTTAAGAGTGTTTGCTCATCTTCAATAGGACATTTCCTGTCTGATGTCAAATAGACGTTTAGAAGATAGTGTGTAGTGGATAGTAGTGACTCCCGGGCGAAGGCTTGTATGCCGCTGCCGCGTCAGAGTGTTTTTATAGTGTTGATTGACCAATTAAGCCATAGAAATAAAGGCTTTTTAACTTTTCTAAAGAGAGTGCCTTGGATGTTCCTGTCGATTTCCAGACGTTTAGAAGATGTCTTTAAGATGTAATGATTTAGAATACATGTTAAACTGACATCTTCTAAACGTCTTTGACACCTGACAGGAAACGTCCTAAACGCTATTGCAGATGAGCAAACACTCAAATATGAGCAAATATGTCTTCCAGATGTAAACATCGCATCAAATAGACTTATGCTTTCTGGGATTCTATTGAGAAACCATTAGAAAAAAGTGAATAAAAACCTATAAGTCAAAGACCTATCAATGTTCAGAAATTATTAGTTATAAGTGTTATGAGGAGTGTTTTTGTTGTCAAACTCAAAAAGTATTTTTAAATTATTTAAAAAATGCCATTATTTTAAATGAAAAGTTAATAATTGTAATTCATTTGCAAAATATTTTAGTTTCTCGTGTATATATATATATATATATTTTTGATCAGATCAGATAACATTTGAATTAATGTGGAAAAAAAATAATTCTCTCATCCCCACGTGAATTTACACAAACCGAGAAAGTCACAAAGTGTTGGCTGTCCGCCGCTCTCACCCTTCTCCAAATGTTGCTAAATTTGGATCTTCTTATCTTATCTTTCTTAACAGTCATGGCATGGGGAGTAAAAACATATAAAGGAGAGCTCTGTTATAAGACGAGCCATCTGTATTCAGCCTCCCCTGTTACATTATGAAGGTTTCTTTCATTCTGTGTATCCTCACTGCCATGTCCTTGGGTCCAGCAGATGGACATGTGGTGGCTAATTTCGGGGATTCACCTGATTGCATCAAGTTCTTCTACAAGGAGAAAGTTCCAGAGCTGGGAGCTTCCCAGCCGAATGTCGTCCGTTTATGTCAGCGCTTTCTAAACACATATCACTTCACCACACTTTACGACACATACTACCACATTGCTGTCTATTCTGCATACATCTTTCAGCCAAGTGATGGCGGAGGCAGAGAGAAACGCTGGTTTGTAGAGCCACAGGTGAGTAACCTTCAGAAAGTGATCATTATTTTTTGTGTTTAGTTCCTGCATCATCCAGTTTGTTTCTAACGATAAGAAATTCAATATCAATAAGAAATTCAACTTATGAATACTAAAATACTTATATTCCTATTTTTAATTTTTACACTGTAAAAAAAAAACATGATTAATAGTGACCATTTGTTTTTACATGGCAATTGTAAGATTCAACTCATTTTTAAAAGTCAGTTTTATGTAATTTAAGTTGAAATGACTTAAACATCCATGTTGATTTTACTTAAAAATTTTAAGGCAGCGACTCTTTTTTACAGTGTACTTGTTACTTTGGTTTTTTTTTTGTTTTGTTTTTTATAATTGTCAGATGTTGTTAGTTATTGTTTAAGTTCTGTTTTACTCTTTAAATTTAGTTGAAATGTAATAAAATGCTGTTTAATGGCAGGTTTCACTGACATTGACACTGTGCTATGTACACACTAATGGTAAAAAAAAATCAATAGCATGTGTTTATACAGAAACTGTAAAACTTTTAAAACTTTTAAATATAATAAATGTAATTTAATAAAATAAAAAAATAAAATATTAAAATATAATAAAATATTACCCTGGGGAATATTTACTGGAGCTTTTTAGTTTAAAATGAATTATCAATAATTTTCATACTTATTATATTATATTACTGTAATTTATTATATTATATTACTGTAATTTTGACATCTCATTATCCCATCAAAACGATGATGTTTTTACTAGTTGGTGAATCCGACATGGCCAAGTGAAATGGAAGATGGATATAAGCTGTCACAGCAGAACCCGGACATCTATCTGGGAGAGAATCAAGCTTTAAATGAAGACTACACAAACTCTGGATTTGACCGTGGTCACCTAAATCCCAACGGACATCATGCAGGTATAAACCCTATAGTGAAGATTTAGTCTGACCTTTTCAGGGACTGACGTCATACGTTAACATTTAATATTATTACATTTATTGCTAATTTTAAAAGTTACTCTTTAGTATAAAAACTATAATATACATTAAAAAATTATTTAATGGACGAACACATCCTAAAATCACCTCAAAAGTTGATGAATTTCTGAATTTCAAAAAAAAATCTTTCTTTTCTCTTTCTTTCATCATAACTTCTTCCTGTTAGTTCCAAGTCGTAATGCCACCTTCACCCTTACCAATGTGGTGCCTCAAAACCCAACGCTGAACCAGAATGCTTGGAACCAACATGAGCAGAAACTGACCAGTTTGTTTAATGCAAACTGTCATGAGGCATATGTGCTGGTTGGTGCCATCCCTTCTTCTAACAACTGGATCATCAAAAATAACGTCAAACGGGTGAACATCCCAGAGTACATCTGGAACGCTTACTGCTGCGTCGATCAAAACGGCCGCCCCATCCTAAGCGGCGCTGCGACTGCCCTCAACACAGAGCAGAATGTTGTTGTGGAACGCAGCCTAGATGAGATGGTCAACTTCCTTCAGCAGTTCTCTGAAGCACCAGTGAATGAGCTGTTCAGCGGCCAATGCAGAGCTTAGATTAACACCTTCAAATAAACTTTAGCAATAAGGTTTAATTCTGTATTTTCAAGTCACATCATCATTACACAACATTCAGTATCTTTTAAAATAATATGATGAATTCTCTTAGATAAGAGAGGAAAGTACACCAAATACAAAATGCAAAGCCATACTGAGAGTTTTTTTATTGTAGTACATGCAGTTTTGGGTATTTATGTATGTGCTGTGTTTTAAACATGCATATTCAGGTTAACCTTAGCCCACTTGCCCATTAGCCGTTGAGAATATTTAAATTATATATATATATATATACGTTTGTGCTTCATATTGATATAACGCATTGCTCATCTACTCACTTATTCGTTCAAATGAAAGACATGAATTCAATAATGTCAATGAAACTCCAGATACCCATATATCATTTTTTTTATACTTAATCTAACCCCTAATTTATATTAAAACTGAGACGTTCTTATGCATACTGGCTCATAGGATGGTCATTCCACTCAGGGAGATGAGAGATCTTCTCTTCTGTGCTGGGCTGGATGGGCCAGCCCCACGCTTTGAAGAAGGGAGACAAATTCATGTTGACCACCTTGGAGAAGGTCTCAGCATACAGATTCATCTTGCCTGCATTATCATTTGGCACTCCACCCATAGTATGGTAGGCGGCAAAAACTTTCTTAAAAGCATCCCAGCCAAATTTTTCCTGAAGCTTGAAAAAAAAAGAAAGAAAAAAAAGAAAGATGATGGAAGATTACACACACAAATGGGTGTAAATATATATATATATATATATATATATATATATATATATATATATACATAAATAATTAAAATTATATTTCTATATTTATTCATTCTGCATTTTATTGTTTAGTTTTTAAAAATGAACCTTAAAATAATTAATTATTACTTCTAGGGCTCACAAATAATTCATAATTTCTTTAATCTCTCTTTAAAAAATGTCAATACTGGCAATAATGATGTAACCAAAAATGTACATTATCAAACAATGTTATCACATCAAAAACTGTTATACACAGTCTGTTCTTACCTGCATGTAAGTCTCGAGTGCCGTCCACATGCTCCAGGTTTTTAAATCCTTTCCGCCACTGTGATACGTCTTGGCACGAGACTGGCGGTTTTCTGGAGTGATGGCTGGATGAGCATTGGCTCTATCAAATCGCAGAAGTTCCTCATGTACGTACAACGACCACAGGTTGCAGGTGCACTCGGTGGTGTGTGGAGGGAACTCCCAAACTCCACGCTGCTGGTTATGACCCAACTCATGAATGGCTCCCCAAAGACCACTTTTATAGGCTTCCTTTACGTTTACTAGTGCTGGGGCAGAGTTGGAGTGCATCATGATGGGATATCCAGCATGCATGAAACCTGAGGGGTGAAAAGGGGAACATGTTATCGTCAGGATTGTGAGAATATAATTAGTAATAATCATGGCATGATTCTGTTGTAACTTGTAATAGTGATGTTTACTTTATCCCACTGACCGTGAGAGATCTGAACATCTGCAACAAACCGCTCCTTGCGGGGTAACTTGGCAGGCCTTGCTGCCAGGTCAGTTATGCTTCTCATTATGGTATCCCATAATGTAGCCACCTCATCAGGGCAGTCCAGATTCCTTACAAATCCTGATTCTAATGTGATGATGATGTTCTCAAACTCAAGTTCTGCCCAGGGGGCAGGTGCCGAACGGATCCCGCTCACCCAGTCAGCTACACTAGTCTCTCCTGATGGACAGAACAAGTTTCATCATGTACCTTTAAATGTTCGGGATAGAAACCTCACTAATTAATTCAGAATACTTACCAGATTTGAAGTATGGAGCCTGTACTGAGACCTGCACGACAATTTCCACCCCATCCACTTTGCTCTGGGGAGGTGCTATTAGGTAGATGAGCCCTCCCCACAAATTCCAGACCTGGACCATTTCTGTGTCCAAAGGAAATCGCTCATGGACCACAGGAGCCCGTTTCAGGATGTTTGCTCCACCGATGTTATCTGTCTGACAACCAAGCTGCACCTACATATATATAATAACATGCTCTCCAACCCATATTTGCAATAAGGTTGTATCTAGAATAACAAGTAGCTACGTATAACATACAGCACTATTCATGTATAGAGTAGATTTTATTGATTACCTGCCAATTTTTCCCAACGATCTCTGGAGGTACCAATATGTACGTCTTCATACCAGGAGAAAGATACAAGCCTGTGCTTATCCATTCCTCACAACCTGAAACACGAAATTTTGTAGTGCTTAAATAGTATAACTTATAAAAGGAATACAATAATTCATCCTGCACTTGGCAAGAAATATTTTGTACCCCCAGTGTTAGCACTGATCCGAACTCTTGCATCAGACACAGTGGGCAAGTTGGGTCTGTCCTTGATGATGTATGGAAGAAGGGCATCAGGATTAGGCGCCACTTTGTATATCTCGGATCCAATCTGGAGCATCAGGTGGTCTTTAGCACGTTCGACAGGACACTTACTGCACACCTGTGGAACACCTACCTCCTTCACTATGTCACAAAGAGTTGCTACCACTGAGGTGTAGGCAGCACTGTCATGAGCACGCATACGAAGGTAACTCGCACAGTCACTGCCCAACTGTTTCAAGCAACCCTGATCATGAGCAGTCAATTCTTGACCCAGGCTTACATGTTCAGCAAACCGCTGCAGCATGCTACGAAAGTGGTACCCCTCTTTACAACTACGCTCTGTATCTAAGGCCTTATATAACCCTCCACCCAAGGTATTGCCTAAGAGACACAATCCCATCTTGTTAAGAATATGATTTCCTGGGTATTCAGTCATCACATTCAAGCCACAGTGGGTCTGAGCCCAATACCAAGCATGACCCCCAATCAGAAGTCCTCCGCCTTCAGCAACAAATTCTTGGATCTCTGCACATCGGGCATCACTGTAGGAGGTGCAGACGTAGACGCTTAGATCTTCTCTGAAGTCAGTCAACTGGCAATCTAAACCTGATTTGCTCAGGACCACGTGGGCTGCTTTGAGGCTGGGTAAGATCCCAATAACACCATTCCGACCCTCATCAAGCCACTTGATAGCATTGATCATGAATGTGGACAGAGAGTCCCGGCACAGGTAGCCTTCATGGGATGCCAGAATTACTCGACCTTGTCCATAATAAGCACCAGCAATGAATGCTTTTTCAGCAGGAGTGACTGCAATGGGGAATGCTAATGGTCCGTGCACCATCACCTCAGATGCTAGAGCCCCTCCTTGGGTGTCAAACTCGGACACACCTTGTAGCAGGAACTCTAGATCATCTTTGAAGTCTTTGCCTATTCTGAAAAAAAAACAAGATCGATAGTGAATGATTTGTTAAAGAATGGGTAAAAAGCAAAAATGTGTGCTCAACTTACGAGACAGAAAGCCAACTAGAAGGAATGTTTCTTGGAACGGGAAAGTTGCCAACTTCTCCTGGGAGTTCAGAGAAATAAATTCCTGCAACACTGCACACCTTGTTTCCTGGAAAGTTCTTTAAAGTGTTTTCTTGTGGATGGTCGTAAGACCAACTCCATGCTTGGCCAGCAATGATCAAACCACCTCCAGCTTTGAGGAAAGCAACCAGATCCTTTGCACAGGTCTCGACACTGTAAGCATCTGTGATATATATAGCTAAATCATCACGGAAGTCTACGAGCTCTGTCTTGATAGGGCAGTAGTTCAAGTTTTCAGCTACTGAACGTAAACTCCGCTGAACTCCTATTATGCTGGCATCACTGGTACATGGCATAAGCCACATTAGAGCATTCTCTATGAGGCCAGGAAAGCGTGTTAGGTATTCCTCATGTCCCAACACCACTATACGTCCACGACCGTAATGAGATGCAGCCATCAGCACCTGACCTCTTGGATTCATGACAAGTGGAAAAGCTTGTTCACCTATAAGTACGAGATCACTGGGAACTGCTTTCCCTTGGAAATCAAGCTCCTGCAGCCCAGACATGAGAGTGTAGTAATCCTCTTCGCGTGCCATGGTGAATTAGTTCTGTTTTAGTTGGTCAATTCAAATCACAAACACTTTTAAAGGGTCTGAACACTGGGTTTGTTCAACCAGAGCGATTCTGGTTGTTCAGTCCTACACAAAGACAGAAATTAGGGACAAAAATCAAGTTTAACATATTTAAAAAACAAATAGAAAATGTAATTTTGTAAATGTTTAAAAAATAAATTACATTTAATATACAGTAGTATACACAAATCTGAAATAAACAGACAATTGAAACTTTACTTCCCATCCGTTCCCAATTGGGACTACAGATGTAAAAATTGCAACTAATAAAAATATGCACACACTCACCTTCTATTCAGCTTTCTACATATCTATACAAACAAGCTCAAATGACTTTCCTTTTTAGCTTTGTGTAACTACTGTGGGAATGTGTTTATGGCTATGACTACGGCTCACCCACAATGAGCACACCCTAGGAGCATGCCCATACATGCACCTTTTTAACTTTGTTTGTTCATCTAGAAACCGCCATCAACCACTACCTACAGCATTTGTAGTTTGTATCCTGTGTGAGTATTTGTCCAGAGCTCCCCAAATGACGTGCGAGAGAAAAAACAAGATATCATGGCCACAAATTAATAATTTGTTCCCACAATTTATTCATTTGTTTCCTGTTGCCCATATTTACAGTCAAGAAAGTCGAAAGTCAAAGCCAGTATGCAGATTTTGACCAGTAATAATTGAAAATTTCACAGGAAATCACGGAGCGTATGATGGGCACAGACTCAGATTTTTAGCTTCAGACTATGAAATATTCTATGTTTTCTTCTATATGTCATGTGTGGGGTTCCATAGATGTAAGACAAAAACACTTGCCACTTTAAAATAAACTGCATTATGCAGAGTAAACAAACTATGTTTATCAAGCCATAATTATTACCAGGATATCCTATCTCACGATAATACTTGTGTAAATATTTGTCATCGAACAGGCGTAAACAAACTGAATAGCATCATACTATTCTTTTGTCTGTGCACCTTGTACTGATTTTCAGGTACTAAACAAACAAAGTTTTAAATCCCACTTTCAATACAAATACTAGAAAAACAGACTAGCTACTTTTAATTGATGCAATGCAATACGTTGCCAGCTTAAAAATCAAAACGGACAAGTCTTATTTTTTTTATGTATTTATAATAAATAAATACAGGACAGATTAAATGACTATCTATCTATCTATCTATCTATCTATCTATCTATCTATCTATCTATCTATCTATCTATCTATCTATCTATCTATCTATCTATCTATCCATCTAGAACCAAGAACAAAGCACATTCTATCATTAATTGCTTTTAAAAACTATATAGAGTTTTTTTTTTTTTTTTTTTTTAGCTTTTTATCGCCACACTGTTATAGTAGTAACTTTAACTACAGTAAGTCAAGAGCATCTTGACTAATTGCGACTCCCAATGACATGATAGGAACCAAACTATGGGCGCCATTGTTCCACATCGGAAATATTTATGAACCGGACCCGTGAAGAGCGTCCAACAAATAAATCGCAAGTAATATTAAAGTTTTAGACAACAAGTAAGTGCTATTTGGATTTTGTCTTGTGTATTTAGTTTAATTTTGTTTGCCTGATTGTAATATAAGTTTCAAAGAGAAACTTTGTAGGTTCACACAGACAGCACAGTTTGAGCCTATTAGCTTGAGCCTATTTGAATTCCTCTGGTGTCAAAGTCAGACTAAGATATTTTTGCACATGAAACATTAAAACGAAGTCACGGCATGTAGCTAACCAACGTTAGTTACTTTTCAGTTATCTGTTAAATATTCATAATTAGCTCGCTAAATAAATACCAAATGTACAGAATATTTGTCATTTCGCATACAGTTGGACTATTTGAATCTTAAATCATTGTTTTCTTACTGTAACTTCTCTCCTCCTGCAGTCCACCTGTTCTCGTCTGTGAATGGCTATGCAGTGCACACTAGTGAGTGTAAATGGAGCTCGGGTGGAGCTGGCTGATGGTCGAGCTCTTATGTTAGGTCGAGGCCCTGAATCCAGAATTTCAGACAAGAAGTGCTCGAGGCATCAAGGTGGGTTTTCTCACCACACCCACCCAGCCTAGTTATGCAAAAAGTTGTACGCGTCACTTTTGTGTCTGCTCATAATGTAGGCTACTGCTTCTATTTTTGACAGTTAAACTTGTTGCCAACTATGCCAAACAGGAAGTTCTGGTTACGCAGGTAAAAACAAAAACCACAAAAAAAAAAACAGCATGTTACAATTTACTAAGATTTTATGAAACCAATTATTTTCTTAATAGTTAAATCTAAGAAAGCATAAGTGAGTAACTTACAATCCAATCTGTGTTTTTACAGCTCGGGCCCAACCCATCTTCCCTGGACAGTCAGTCTTTGGGTCGTGGCATGTCTGGATGTCTGACATCTGGTTGCACACTGTACTTGGTTGATCAGTCCCATCCGTTCACTGTGGAATTTGTTGGAAATTCAAACGAAAAGCCGTCCTCTCCTCAGAATAGAAATGTAGCAGATGAAAGCAGAAATGGAAAGAAAATCTCAAATGATCCCAAAAGGAGCATCCAGGATTTCTTTTCTAAATCTTCAAAAAAGGTATCAAGATAATTCATGGTAGTGAAACTGTTTGAGGAAATATAAAAAAAAAGTTAAAAAAAGGAAAGAAATGAACACTTTTATCCAACAAGGATGCACTTTTATTTTGCAATGATACAAAATATTTCTATTTCAAATTAATGTTCTTTTGAACTTTAGGATTATATATATATATATATATATATATTCCATCTCTCTCTGTGTGTGTATATATATGTTTTGTGTGTATATACATATGTGTATATGTTTGGGGATTTTTTTTGTAAGGTCACCCTCGCAAATTGCTTTTGTGAACACATTTCTGCACATTTCTTTGACATCAGTATTTTTGCTGCATTTTAATTTAAGTTAAATATATTTTGATAATAATAGATAAACGTTATCTAACAGTTTTACAGAATGAAATATAAATGTTGGCACATGGCAATTCTTTACCACAATTGAATGTCTAATGCATTTCCTCATTCTGAATTTTATATAGATGCCATTTAATTTCTGATTTCAATTAATCAATTGTAGTTGTTTTTGAAGTGTTTATAATAATATTGTATTCATTATTTAGAAAGACTGTTATATCGTTCTGTGTGTTTTATAGGAAACAGGCAAGAAACAGTGAGTTAGGAAAAACATATTGAAGAATACATTAATAAGATAAAAGGTTACTTAATTCAAGTCTGCAGGAGTGTATAAATTCATAAATTCATAAAAGACACATAACAATTAGTGGGAAATTTACATTTTCCATTTCTGTAATACAGACATTTTCAAACACTTTCAACCCATTTTTTCCTTTTTAAATTATTTTTATTAAAGTTAATTTATGTCATAAAATCAAAGGAAAAATCCCATAAAACCTTGGCTTTTGTTTCTCAGGCAACAAAACGACCTCGCAGCCCAGAAAAGGATGACACTCGCATGAAACGAGTGCGTGACGATGAGGATGATGAAGATGAGCAGACCTCATCTGAGAAAAAGCTTAAGCAATTACAAGCATTTGCTGAGAGAGAGAGTGATAAAAACCTGGCACCACCAACTATCAAACCCAGCGCCCCGTCTTCCACTTGCTCTCAGAGTCACTGGCAACAAATCGGCAGCCTTATGCTGTTCACTGCAGCTGGGGTTCCAGAAAGCTCCAAAGTAAGACATGAACTTTCACAGAGTTTATTCAGCACATAGTGTTAATTCAGAACATTGTGTTTAATTGTTCAGCACATCATGTTTATTCAGCACATGGTGTTTATTTGTTCAGCACATAGTCTTTATTCAGCACATGGTGTTTGTTCAGCACACAATGTTTGAATTTGGATTTGAATTTATTTATTTTAAAAGAGACAATGCACGTTAATTATCATGGGCAAGTCCATCATGTAAATGTGCCGGACTTAGCCATACAGGCTATTTTTCATCCGTAGTCCCTGGCAGTCCGTAAAATATAAAACAAAAACAAACAAATAACCAACGCATTCTCATTCCAAAGCGCCATATACGACGCTTTTGCAAAAGCGTAAATATCCAACGCACATGGCACCCTTTAACGTCAAATGAGACGCAGATATATTTGGGCAGAAGGCGCCCCCTAGTGGTCTAACCCTAACCCTACACCATACCTAAACTTAACCATAACCGAAGCGTCTCATTTGACGTTAAAGGGTGCCATGTGCGTTGGATATTTACGCTTTTGCAAAAGCGTCATATATGGCGCTTTGGGATGAGAATGGGCTCAAATAACATATAAAAACACATTCCAACAAGCATAACCATAATCAAAGTATATTAATACAAATACAGAATGACTTTAGATATAAGGAGACAAACGCAAGGCACTACTCCAAATTATGAAAACATAATTGATTATCCTTTAACCATTGAATTATGGATGCAGAAAAAGAAGTGAAAGATGATGTAATATTTCTTAAATTTGTAGGTATAGTATTCCAGGCATGTGTAGGTTTAACCATCAAAACCATTATGCTTCTAGAATGTTTCATGCTGTTTTTTGTGATTCAGGTCGCAGGTTTTGACATTGACGGCTGCATTATCACTACAAAGTCTGGGAAAGTATTTCCCACAAGTCCAGATGACTGGAGGTGAGTCTGGTTGAAGAACTTGCTATACCATGCCGCTGTTTGTTGTCTCTCACTTGATGATGTTTTACTCTTGTTTAGGATTCTCTTCCCAGAGATTCAGCCCAGACTGGCCAGTCTGTTGAAGAAAGGATACAAGGTGCTTCTTACTCCATTATCACTCGTTGATGTTGTCAGTATAAGATAATGTTTCATAACAGAAGTTAGAGCATCATTAAATGTCCAATTGGTTTTACTTTGCTCTGTTTAGGTGGTATTTTTCACCAATCAGATGGGAATATCTCGAGGAAAACTCAGACCGGAGGTGTTCAAGTCCAAAGCTGAGGATATTCTACAGACACTTCAGTTGCCCATCCAGGTTAAAGACACACTCACTACATGCACTACTGTTCAGAAGTCTGGGGTCTGTAAGATTATTACCATCACACTTATCACCCTGTAGCCCAAGACTGGTTGCCCACTGAAGCTAAGCAGGGCTGAGCCAGGTCAGTACCTGGTTGGGAGACCTGCTGTGTGATTGAGGCCAGTAGAGGGCGCTCACCCTGTGGTCTGTGTGGGTCCTAACACCCCGGTATAGTGATGGGGACACTATACTGATGAAGAGCGCCTTCGGGTGAGACGTTAAACCGAGCTCCTGACTCTCTGATCATTAAAAATCCCAGATTGTCCTTCGAAAAAGAGTAGGGGTTTATCTCCAGCATCCTGGCCAAATTAGCCCAGTGTCCTCTGTTCATCATCATGGCATCCCCATATATACTCATTGGCTTCATCACTCTGTCTCCTCTCCACCAGTAAGCTGGCGTGTGATGGGCGTTCTGATGCAATATGGCTGCCATCGCATCATCCAGGTGGTGCTGCACAATGGTGGTGGTTGAGGAGATTTCCTCCCTTCTATGTAAAGCGCTTTGAGTACCCAGAAAAGCGCTATATATATGTAACGAATTATTTTAATGTTGATGAAAAAAATCTTGTGCTTACCCTGGCTGCATTTATTTGAGCAAAAATACTGTCAAAACAGTAATATTGTGATCGATTCATACCATTTAAAAGAACCATTTTCAAAGCTGAATCTTCAGCAGTCTTCAGGGTCACATGATCCTTCAGAAATCATTCTAATGTGCTGAGTTGCTGCTCAAGAAACTTTTTTTACTTATTATTATTATTATCAAAAGTTGTGGATTTTTTTTTTTGTTGGGTGGAAACCGTGATAAAAAAATAAAAACACCATTTATTTGTAATAGAAATATTTTCTAACATTATTAATGTCTCAGCAATTATTGACCAATATGACCAATTATTATTATTACCTTACTGACCCCGAACCTTTGAATGGCAGCATAAGCAGGTTTAAGAATTGAGTGTAGTAGATGTATTTCCCTTAACTTATTTACGAATGGGAAAACGTTGTCTTTTTTCAGGTGTTTGTTTCCACAGCCCCTGGTATTTACAGAAAGCCTGTTATCGGAATGTGGGAACATCTGTGTGAGAAGGTGAATCACTATTGTGGTTATTTCTCGTTGTCTATTACAGGAATTACATTTTAAAGTATCATTTGCTTTACATTACATACAAGCAGCAAGTTCAGTCCCAGTAGCCTATGTATGTTAAGACACTGTTGTGTTTTGCAGGCGAATGGTGGAGTGACAATAGATGTGTCACAGAGCTTCTATGTAGGAGGTGAGCTAAATCAAGTTCATTCAAGTCTAAGGCCCTGTTTACACCTGGTATTAAGTTTTGCGTTTTGGTCGATCGGATCACAAGTAGATGGCCCTAAATAAAGGTGTAAACGGGGTCTAAAACGTTCTGAGCTTGTCCACGCATTCGACCGGATTGCTTTCATTGTGTAAACAGTCATGTGGTCAAATGTGTTCAAACATATTCGTAAATGCTATGGGAAGCGCTAACCAGACAGGATTTACACGTAGTTGGCTGAAGACCCAAGTTTGGTTTGAAGACAACATACCAAGCCTAATGCTCACCATCACTGATTTCTTACATGCACTCAGTCACCGTGTTCGGTGTGATCTTCCGGCTGTCAGAAGAGAAACATAAGCTGCTGCTCTCTGTATGTTTTCCATTTTCAAACATCTCGCTACCTTTCGGCACGCCAATTACTCTGACACTTTAAATAAAGTGCAACCAAAAACATTGGTTTACATTTTTATTTTATGTATTTTATTTCCTGCACATAGTGCAAAATGACCCAATAACATTTCAGATTTACATGCTCACTTATGGTTTTCCCATATTTACAGATGCAGCAGGCCGTCCTGCTAACTGGGCCCCAGGGAAAAAGAAGAAAGACTTCTCCTGCAGTGACAGACTGGTAATGACGTTAACTGCGGTCTTCATTACTCTTAGGGAGATTGAATTTGTTACTGTTATTAAGAGTTACTGCATTTTATAATAAACTGTAAATCACGTGTAATAGATTTACTCTGGTTTGGCCACAAGAGGGCATGGTAGTGTTTTTCTTGCTCCATTTTAGCATAATAAAAAAGGGAAACTTTAGGCTTTTGACAAAACACTGTTTTTTCCCCCTTATCTCTTGTGCCCTCAGTTTGCCCTCAACATTGGTCTTCAGTTTCACACCCCAGAGGAATACTTCTTGGGCTGGAAACCCGCTCCGTTCAGCTTGCCAGAGTTTGACCCCGTAAACGATTGGTCTTTTTGAATGTTTTTGTTTCACTTACACGTTTTCCACTGTCTATTGTGTTATTTATGTACTGTGTTATTTACATGCATGGTTATTTATGTTTTGTACCTTAGTCGGGTACTTCACACTGCCATTCAAAAGTTTTGGGTCAGTAAGATTTTTTTTTAAAGAAACTAGTACTTTAATTCAGGAAAGATTAAAAGATTAAATTGATCAAAATTGGCACTAAATACATGTATAATGTTACAAAAATTATACATTTTTAAAAAATGCTGCTCTTTTCATTAATCAAAGAAAAAAAATCTGAAAAAACTGTTTTCATTATTAATCATACGAAATGTTTCTTGAGCTGCAAATCAGCATATTAGAATGATTTCTGAAGGATCATGTGACACTGAAGAGTAATGATGCTGAAAATTCACCTCTGCATCACTGAAATAAATTTAATTTTAAAATATAGTTTACTAAATTACTCTAAATAAGCTTTAGTATTATTTTTGGTCAAATAAATGCAGCCTTGGTGAGCATAAGAGACTTCTTTCAAAAATATTTAGAAATGTTACTGGCCCAAACTTTTTGGACATTACTGTACTAAAAATCTGTAATAATGTTTTGTGTTCTTGTATCATTGTCCAGAGGAAATTAGACTCCAAAATGCGTCTTTACGATCCTCCTGATACATCCCTCACATCTACCAAACAGGAAGTCATTGTATCAGTGGGATTCCCTGGATGTGAGCCTTTTTTCCCAGTGTTTGTTTTTTCTTCTTACTCCTACTAATTGAACAATATTTATGATAAAACCTTGTTTTTTTTGCGGGGTTTTTTTGCAGCGGGCAAATCCACATTCTTCCAGACACACATCATTCCAAAGGGCTATGCATATGTGAACAGGGTGAGTTGTTACATTGCTAACACAACAAGAAGTAGATCTCCAAGAGCAGGAACGAGCAAATTTGGAGGCTTTAAATGTGTATAACATCTTGTTTTGACTGCCTTTGAATGCTGTGACATCTGCACATGAACTCTAGGACATGCTTGGCTCCTGGCAGCAGTGTGTGTCAGCCTGTGAACGGGCTCTGAAGGAAGGCAAGAGCGTAGCGGTGGATAACACTAACCCTGACCCCGAGTCGAGAAAAAGGTGCCTACCTCTGTTTCCAAAGCAGATGCTATTTTTTTTTTTTTTGTCTTTTCAACTGAAATGGCACCATTAATGATTTTCTCCGCAGATATATAGATGTCAGCCAAAGCGCTGGAGTCCCCTGCAGGTGTTTCAATTTCTCAACCAGTCTGGAACAAGCAAAGCATAACAACAGGGTATCTGTCTTTACTGTAGTGTTTTACATTAATAATACTTATTTATTATTGCAGTATTTACCAGTATTATAAATTATTCATATGAGATCAACCAATTGCAAACCATAACCATCCAATCAATTCCCAATTGACAAAATCAAGTCCCGCCCTAAAATTTTTTTTTCTCATATCTCATTGGAGAAGCCCTTTCACTCAGATATATGCCACCACAGTGAAGAAGTTTCACAGTGACTTTAAATATAAAATTGTGTCTAAAAATGATACCATTTTACTAACTCTAAAAATGCATAAGAACTTAAGTCCAGAAATGCAAAGTTAGTCACTGATTGATGTCTTGTTTTTTTTTGCTGTAGTTTCGTGACATGATTCCTTCTGCCACAAAGCATGTTCATGTCAATGACATGGTGATTCATAGCTACAAGTGAGTGAACAGCAGCAAGCTGAGCTTATTCCATTGTACCAGATCATTTTAATCAGACCTTTGAACAAGCTTCTTTATCTTTTATCTTTATTTGCTATCTCGTACAAGCCGATTGGTGTCTGACTTTTTCTTGTTCTCTGTAGGAAAAAATTTGTGGCACCCAGTTTATCTGAGGGCTTCTCTGAAATCCTGCAGATTAATTTTGTGCCTAGTTTCAGTGACAAAAGATCAGAGTTCCTCTTCAGGCAGTTCTCTGAGGGCTGAGTCTGACATTTGAGCCAAAAATGAAGAACAAAAAAAAAAGGCTTAACAACCCAGCGGAAGGAAAAAATAACTGACAATTCGGAACATGATTGAAAATACAGTGCTAATTTAAATATTGTGTTAACTTGTCTTCTCTCAATTTTACACTTGCCTTTCACTGTCTTTGATTTGTTGCTTTTTAAATGTTGTTTGGTAAATGTTTTCATAGCTGTTAAAATCAACCTGCTGTTATGAAGACACTACAAATAAAACTGTAAAAATAATTGAGAAAACAATTCAGTTTGATCAAAAACAATTAACTTGCTTCAATATTTTCCAGGCATGATTAGGCATGATTTATGTTTTTTGGGGTTTTTCTCGTCTGTTAAAGAAGACTTTATTTATAGCTGAGATTTTTTTCAAAAGCAAATATCAGAAAGCAGATATTCTAAATATTGTGTTTGTGTGCTATAGATATCTGGAGTCCCAGCTTAAGGCTGGCCCACACTAAAAGACTTTTAAAGTAGTGTGTGAAAAGCTAAAATGTGACGACAGGCAAAGCGTCTGTAGTTTTAAGACTGCTTTTTATAGAAAATGCAAGAGAAAAAAAGAAAAAGGTTTATATGTCGCTCGCCATCTGATCGGGGTTCCCCAACAACCCCAATAATATCCAACTGCATAACCAAAACATCTTTTTTGTTTTGGGATTATTGGAAGGGGAGAATTGGGCCCAAAATCAGAATGATTATCTTGTGGGTGCCTAGTTTAATGCATCAAGATTCTTACTTTTTTGTGTGATTTACACATAAAGTGTTGCAATATGATCGGCCCTTATCAGCTTAACCCTCTCACAACGTTTCGGAAACTTTGTTGAGTAATTATGTCTCAACTGCATCAGAAATGAGTAAGCATCAAGTTGAATGTGGCTTAATAGTTCGAAAACGTACAGAAACTTATTCGCTTTAAGATTTTTTTTATATATAATATACACGCTCACCTAAAGAATTATTAGGAACGCCATACTAATACTGTGTTTGACCCCCTTTCACTGCCTTAATTCCACGTGGCATTGATTCAACAAGTTGCTGAAAGCATTCTTTAGAAATGTTGGCCCATATTGATATAGGATAGCATCTTGCAGTTGATGGAGATTTGTGGGATGCACATCCAGGGCACGAAACTCCCGATCCACCACATCCCAAAGATGCTCTATTGGGTTGAGAACTGGTGACTGTGGGGGCCATTTTAGTACAGTGAACTCATTGTCATGTTCAAGAAACAATTTTAAAATGATTCAAACTTTGTGACATGGTGCATTATCCTGTTGGAAGTAGCCATCAGAGGATGGGTACATGGTGGCCATAAAGGGATGGACATGGTCAGCAACAATGGCCGTGGCATTTAAACGATGCCCAATTGGCACTAAGGGGCCTAAAGAGTGCCAAGAAAACATCCTCCACACCTTTACACCACCACCAGCAGCCTGCACAGTGGTAACAAGGCATGATGGATCCATGTTCTCATTCTGTTTACGCCAAATTCTGATTTTACCATCTGAATGTCTCAACAGAAATCGAGACTCATCAGACCAGGCAACATTTTTCCAGTCTTTAACTGTCCAATTTTAGTGAGCTCTTGCAAATTGTAGCATCTTTTTCCTATTTGTAGTGGAGAAAAGTGGTACCCGGTGGGGTCTTCTGCTATTGTAGCCCATCCGCCTCAAGGTTGTGCGTGTTGTGGCTTCACAAATGCTTTTCTGCATACCTCAGTTGTAACGAGTGGTTATTTCAGTCAAAGTTGCTCTTCTATCAGCTTCAATCAGTCGGCCCATTCTCCTCTGACCTCTAGGCATTTTCACCCACAGGACTGCCACATACTGGATGTTTTTCCCTTTTCACTCTATTCTTTGTAAACCCAATGGCTGTGCGTGAAAATCCCAGTAAATGTAGATTGTGAAATACTCAGACCGGCCCATCTGGCGCCAACAACCAACCATATATATATATATATATATATATATATATACTCACAGTTCAAATCTTTGTGTACACAGGTTTTATAAATGAGGCCCATGGTGCACACTGACTTCATCATGTTTCCTTTACATTACTTGTGCTATACTACCATGAGGTAATGACTTAATGGCTGAAAGATCTATTGTCATTTTCCAGTAGTTGCATTTTTAACTTAGACTATGATTTTCCTCAGGATCATTATATACCTTGTACAGCCCCCTTATATAACTATATGACTGGATAGTTGCATTATAATTACCATGTCTGGCAAAAAGCACAATAACAGTTGAATCATCACAATGAGATCTAATGACACAATAAAGTCCTCATAAAAAATGCCATGACTGAACCCAAATGGCCCTTATGTTTTTTCAAATGCACAATCAGCCTGTCCATAAAGCCATACAGGAAATTTCCTACAACCCCATAGAGCTATGATCCGCAAACACGACAGGGTTAAGATACAGTGAGGCATAGTGATGTTTATATCTACTGTATAAACAAGTGGAAGGTGGTGAAACACTTCATCATGATTAAAAAAAAGATACAAATTCTTAACTGATATCAGACATACAGTAAATCATAATATATATGTTATACACAAAACATTTCATCAAAGGGTACTTTCTTTCTAGGGTACACAACAATAGCTAAGCAAAAAAATGCTGCCAATAAAACATGCTGCTAACAAAACAGCTGCCAATATCTGAGTCTAAATTGTATTATATGCCTTTAGAACACAAACATTTTCAATATAAACAAATCTAAAAATTTACCAAACTGTATTTTGTATTTTTTGCCAAGCATGTGGCGAACAACTAAACTCATTAAAGTAATTGTAACAGAAGGATTTTCTTTGCTTCAGTTATTAATGTTGGTTGTAGTCTAAGAAACAGGACGTTATCTTTGTTTCAACGCATACAATGTGATCGCAACAATACCAATAATCACCACAGTTGCCAGACGACTGTTTTCAAACTGATTAAGCTCATCTCAGAGGATTGAAGGTTATAATAATGGAAGCATGTTTGTTTGCAGGTTAGGTTAATGTTTTTGCATACTTGCATGCTTCCTGAGACATCAAGGATGAGACAAACAACCCGATGCATTGCACAATTTTGAAAGATGGCGCTGGTGGAGAAGACGGTTTTGGAACTTTATCAACAGAATCACAGAATATATTTATGTTTCACTGCCCATGTGGTTACAGCAGCAACAAAGCATATGACCATAGTGACCACACACAAAGAAATGACAAGAACTGTCAAATTCATGCCTGGGTTTGATATTCCTTGGGGTTTTGGATCAGGGAGGATCTTTGAAGCTTGAGCAATGTTGGAGGTTTCAGATTTCACATTTTCTTTGTCCTCAGACTGAACAGCAAAAAAGAATGTGGTGCTATTTTGGATTGTGAAACTGAAATTGAATGAGTGCTGTTCAACTGATCCAGCCTCGTGCGGTGAGACGGCAGTTGTGTTGAATACATGACCATTGCTGAAGCTTTCTCGAAGCATTTGAAGGTCATAGCTCCACCTGATCTCGTAGGATTTAGCTTAAAGGAAAGAAATATGTCATGAAGACAATAAAATGAAAAGTATTTTAAATTCTGGTATAGTAATTGTGTGCTTTACCTGTCCCTTGGTCGAGGTCCTCACCAGGAGCCGTCCAGCTGAGAAGCACAGAGTCCTCCTGGATCTCAGCACTCAGATCTGTGATTTTGTTAGGTGGGAAGTTTGGTGGGGGTGAGCCTGATAAATCCACTGTAAAACTCTCTCCAGTGGCTGTTCTGGTAAAGCTTCCGACCTCAAGTGGTTCCTTAGAAACTGGAGGCTTTGGAGGGTTCAGCTCCACCACACCTGAAATTAGAGGAACAACATGAAAAATGTAGTTGAGGAAAGTCTGAACAGTTTGCTTTAGGAGTCTCAATCTCACGGTTTACCGTTTACCACATATCCAGGTACGTATGAGGCACCACCCCTTTTTTGGAAAGTAAATCTGGCTTGTCCATCTTGATTCGTCACTCTCACTTTCAAGCTGCTTCTCCCATTTGTCATCTGTGTGAAATATCTGGAATAGACGCCATCATCTTCGAAAGCATCTGCTCCTGTAAAACCATAAAGTACTTTTGAATAAATAGTGTAAATCTGGGTTGATTGCACACTTGAAACAAAAATGATGGGTAATGTACCTGCTCCATTGTCCAGGAGTTCTATTTCTTGTGTAGACCCAGTTTCAGACTCCAGCGTAGCCCACACTTCAGCCTTTATTATAGGCTTGTAATTCTGACTGACCTCAGCAAACACTATCATGGGTTTAGTGCCGTCACTTAACTGCTGGTTCATTTGGGCTTTGACTATAATAGGGGGAACATCAGCACGCGCCGCTTGACTTGTTGCTGTTATAGTCAGAGACTGAAGTAATCGACTTTGGATGCTGTACTTCCAGTCCCCAGTCTACCAAAAACACAGTAGTATTATTAGATAAATAATGAATGAAAAAGTTTTAGGAAAGTTAATGAAATCGTACCTCTGCAGTTCCTAGAACTTTTAAAGTGACTGTTTTTGCTGATTCATCATGACTCATCTGTACTTGATTGTAGGTTGAGCCACTTGGTGACTGTATGAAAATGTGAGGTAAGCCTTTTTCATAGATTATTGTAAAGCTGGTTTTGGTACCAATGGTCTGATCCACTGATATTGTCCCATTGAACCAGTCTGATGTTTTTTTTCCCACACTGTCTATCTAAAGCGGTGATACAAATGAAATATTAGTACATTTTTAATAATCTTAAAGTCATTTTCCATGGGCAATGAGCGGTCACTTGTCAAACCTGAACTGGGTCTTTTGTTTGATCTCCTGTTGGTATTGTAAGTGAAGAAAATCCATTCAGTAGCTGATTAGAGAGAATGTCATCACTGGCTGTGATAAATTTCCCCCCTATTTACAACATAGAATAAAATGTAAGAAATATGCACTGGATAAACAAGCATTCATAATATGAATAAAATTATTTAGGCCTACTATATTATGTGACAGTGACAGAACAAGTCAAGTCAAGTCATCTTCATTTATATAGCTCTTTCAACAATGTAGATTGTTCCAAAGTGGCTTTACAGTGATAATAGGTAAATAATAAATTAAAGTAACAGATTTGTTTGGCTTTATTGCAGCTCTAAAATAAAGTTATGTTCAAGTTAGTTTTGATTGATTCTCTTTCTTCGCAACGATCATTAGTTAATAATTTAGGGGCCGCTAACAAGACACCGTTTTAACAAAAAACTTTTAAAAAGGTGTTGTTCACTTTTAAAAATAAAAACTTTTGCTGATAATTTACTCACCCCCATGCCATCCAAGATGTCCACGTCTTTCTTTCTTCAGTCGAAAAGAAATTAAGGTTTTTGATGAAAACATTCCAGGATTTTTCTCCATATAATGGACCTCATTGGGAACCAAACGGTTCAAGGTCAAAGCAGCTTCAAGGGGCTTTAAACGACACCAGACGATGAATAAGGGTCTTATCTAGGACCCTTTGAGTCATGAGTCATGACTCGAAAAAAGATTTGTTCATTTTTATGAACGAGTTTAAACCGGAGAGTCACGAACGCTCATCACAGAACAGAGCAAGGCGAGCATTTGTGCTTATAAAACTTTTTTATTTATTTTTTAAATGAGCGATTGTTTCGCAAGACAAGACCCTTATTCATCGTCTGGTGACGTTTAAAGCCCTTTGAAGCTGCACTGAAACTCTCATTTGGACCTTGAACCGTTTGGTTCCCAATGAAGTCCATTATATGGAGAAAATCCTGGAATGTTTTCATCAAAAACCTTAATTTCTCTTCAACTGAAGAAAGAAAGACGTGGACATCTTGGATGACATGGGGGTGAGTAAATTATCAGCAAAAGTTTTTTTTTAAAAGTGAACTACTCCTTTCAGTTCTCTCTACGCAAACTTTAAAAAACGCGAACCTGTGAAAACGCTGATAGCGTGCACATGCACATTAAGAGTTCATTCTAGGTGAGCTTTTGAATATATGTGTGCAGGTATGTAGTCCTTCCTTAAAAAAAAACTACTCTCAACAAACGACTTGTCTGGCTTTAAAATTTATAATACAGAATTTGATCGCTTCAGCGTAGCCATGCTTGTGGGTCGATATCAGAAATATGTAGGCTAAGTTTGCAAATTATCGAATGTGTTGATTGAATATCAGAACTTATTTTTTCCGGATTCTGACACAGAGTTAACGCAACACAATTGTCACACTTGCGCGACCTGCAGTTTGAAAACAGCTGGTCAAAGTAGGCATTGTGAAATTTTTCATTGCAACTTTTTCTGGAACAATGCACTTCATTATGCAACAATGTTACTTACCAGTTTTGTCAGCCATTTTCCTCAGTGCTTTATCTGCTTTATCACCCAAAGCTATTGTGTGTATAATGGCACCACTTTCAATTGCGGCCGGAACACAACTATTAAGGTCGTCTGACGCTTCACCATCTGTCAGAAAAATGATTTCATCCCCTAACACATCCCCATTGTCTTTTTTGAGTACCTTTAAGTTTTAAAGACAAATACAGAACATTAGCGTAAAACAAACTGTAGGCTTTATATTTAACACATCATATGATTAATTTAATACCTGTAAGCCTAGCGTGAGGCCTTTACACATGTATGTCCCTCCATTTGCTGTGTTTGGCAACAGTTTGATGAGTTTTTCTCGTGTGGAGTCATTGTCAATGGTAGTCAAGGGGCTCAGAGTTGAAGCATCAGAACTAAAGGACACAATTCCAACACTGGCTTGATCCTCAATGATGTTCCGCAGGAAATATGTGGCAGCCTGCTGTAGTCGAAGGATTCTGGAGCCCTAGAAAGTAAGATACTAGTTTTTATGCTTTCTCAGGTTTCAAAATGATTAAGCTCATCTCAGAGGATTGAAGGTTATAATAATGAAAGTATGTTTGTTTGCAGGTTAGGTTAATGTTTTTGCATACTTGCATGCTTCCTGAGACATCAAGGATGAGACAAACAACCCGATGCATTCGCTGCACAATTTTGAAAGATGGCGCTGGTGGAGAGGACAGCATTGGTTTCAGAGAACGAAGCGCGTCTTTATCCACAGAATCCTCAAATATAACGGTCCGTGTTGCTTTGTTGCCACATTTTTTATTTTGCAAGTTTGGGGCTTCATAATTGTGATCGTTTTCATGACAAAATGAGATCACCTGAAACCAAATATTTCGAAAAATTTCTTAAAGGGTTAGTTCACCCAAAAATGAAAATTAAGTCATTAATTACTCACCCCCATGCTGTTCCAACCCCGTAAGACCTTCGTTCATCTTCGGAACACAAATAAAGATATTTTTGATTGAATCTGAGAGCTAGATCAGTCCTACATAGACTGCCTAAGGGACTGGCTCTTGACGGCCCATAAAGTCATTAAAGAAAAGGTTTAAATATTCCATGTGCCTACAGCGGCTCAATTATAAGTTTATCAAGCGACGAGACTACTTTTTGTGCGAAAAAAAAACATAAATAACGACTTTATTCCACTATTCCATTACTTCCTTATGGGCGCATGCGCGAGAACTGAGACGAGGACGTTCTCATTCGTCTACTTCTTGTTACCGGCTGCTCACCGCTTAGGAGTTTTACCGCCACCTACCGTATAAGATGATGATCCATATATAAGGCGCTCCGGATTATAAGGAACACTGTCGTTTTTTGAGAAGATTAAAGGCTTTTAAGTGCACCTTATAGTGCGGAAAATACGCAAATTGAAAAGCGTATGTACAGCGCGCATCTTCCTCTGCTTGTAAACAGAAAGTTTTGCGCTTCCAGCTATATCAGCACATCATCTTATACGGTAGGGGGCGGTAAAACTCCTAAGCGGTGAGCAGCCGGTAACAAGAAGTGGTCGAATGAGAACGTCCTCGTCTCAGTTCTCGCGCATGCGCCCATAGGAAGTAATGGAATAGTGGAATAAAGTCGTTATTTATGTTTTTTTCGCACAAAAAGTAGTCTCGTCGCTTGATAAACTTATAATTGAGCCGCTGTAGGCACATGGAATATTTAAACCTTTTCTTTAATGACTTTATGGGCCGTCAAGAGCCAGTCCCTTAGGCAGTCTATGTAGGACTGATCCAGCTCTCAGATTCAATCAAAAATATCTTTATTTGTGTTCCGAAGATGAACGAAGGTCTTACGGGGTTGGTACAGCATGGAGGTGAGTAATTAATGACTTAATTTTCATTTTTGGGTGAACTAACCCTTTAATTCCATATGTTTGCATGCAATGCACTGCAAAAGACCAAAGATAAATATAGCATGTCAACATGTAAAATTTGTACTTACAGAATCCAGGCTTGGGAAGAACATTATGGAGCTGTCTGTTTTTTGATATTTGTTTGGAAAAAACTTGCACCCCTTAGTCGGTAGTAAAGTTTTTGGATCTGTGTGGCACGGTTCAAGTGATTCATCATAAAGCTGACCTTCAATGTTGTTGCTACACCTAAAGGTAAGCAAGAAAATCCATGGTTGAAAAAAACATACAAGGATATTTTAATAATAATACGCTTTCTTTTTGTTAAAGTTGTACGACCTTGTAGCTTCAATATGGCCATTTGACTGGTAGAATGGCTGTGTTTCACTGTATTCATCAAACACGCCCCATCTCAGATGAGCCCATTCATGCACAAAGACCCTTCCTGCAAACAAATATACAAACTTTCTTGTTAATACAACAAACAGATTACTGCATTAACTTGGATAAATATTGAAGGATAACAAATGACATTCACCTCTTGACCCATAAAGCTTAATGGCTGTGTCGTCTTTGAGAAAGTTTGGTGTGAAATGAATGTACTGACCCTCAACTCCACATTCACCATACTGATGAGTGTAGGGTTCATCACCGTATGCTGGTTTAGCAGTATCAATTATTATTTTTGCCTGCATTTCACATAGAAATAGCGTCAGCAGTATGTTAAATTGTTAATATTTGACACGTAAAATGGCATGATTCTCTGTACCTTTTCAAAGGACTCTGTTCTTGCTCTGGTAAAATCCTTACTTTTCCAGTGGGGTGGAACTAGTATCGTTGCTTCTTTGAAATAAACCTTTTTATCCAGTGCTTGATGAAGATGAATCGACCCTTCAGTGACCATGTCCTGTCAGAAGGACAAACGAGGAAAAACTCAAAATGCGTGCAGTTTTAATTAGAAATAATTATACGTTAATTTGTTCATTCAAATACTGTTAGTGAAACTTGATTATATATTTCTTTCTAAATGTTCTTTAAAAACTGCAAAAATTCACCTTGATTTGATCAATGAGCGTGTTATCCTGTGGCACTTTTGAACTGATCGCAATAGTAATGTCAACATAACCATTTCCATCTAGTTGGATTCCAGTGGAGGTGGACGACAGCATCGTCCATAATAACACAAACACCGTTCTTGAGTCCATAGCTGTAGAGTTTAGATGAACAGAAACTGTAGAGTTTATATTATCAGATATAAGTGGGTGTGTGCTTCAATGTCATGCAGGGCTGGACTAATCTGCCAACCTCATGACTCATTTAAAAAACAAGATGTATATACTTCATAATATACTAAATTTGCTCTCAAGGCTGGTACATTTGTAAAGTGTTGCCTTACTCTTAATTAGTTTATTTGGTGCAATATGTAGTGCTTAACATGTGTTGGGTGTGTGCTTCTCTCAAACACCAGGAGAGAGCATGTTGCAGTGAACAGATGTAATTCTAGAACTACTTAAATATCATCTTGAAGAAATAATTCAAATCGTTTAATATTTGGAAGGATAAATATTGATTTATAACTTGATTACAAACCACTCAAAAGGAGATATATTAGCAGTGGATTCAAGAATCCACCCCTTCAATATGGGCTCAAAAGGTTGCATAGAAAACAGGAAGTAAGGTTTTCTGTTAAAAAGGAAACTAGTTAAATCAAATGTGTGCATGTGCTAAGTAAAAACTCAACTTGAAAACAATCATAAAATCAACTTTTTACCTCTATTATTATTATTATTATTATTATTATTATTATATTACATTGCCATTATTGTCAAAGATTTAAGTTGGAAAATGACGTGAAACCGAAACAAGTTTGTAAGTTGTACTGCTTTAAAATACAAGCCCAACAGGTAATATGCTCTCGTATGTTAAATTTCAGCCATTGTACATTAAATCAACCCAATTGCCACTACACTTCCAAAAATGACAAAAAATACCATAGTGAAACAAACAAAAACAAAACATTGGGGATTATTAGCCCAAGTCACACCCCTGCTATTATGGACTTGTATACTAAAATATTAATATTTAATTATTATAAAGTTGTATACCATCCCTACCTGGGACACTACCCACCCCAGGCCACCTCTGACATAACCCAGATATCCCATTTTTTTCTTCTTTTCCTCTTGTTTCCTTTTTCTCTTTTGATGTGTATGTGTATTAGGTGCATATCTCAGCTAAAATGTGATGCATTTCAAAACGTTATGCATCTAAAGTACAAACCCAATTCCATAAAAGTTGGGACACTGTACAAATTGTGAATAAAAACAGAATGCAATGATGTGGAAGTTTCAAATTTCAATATTATATATAGAATACAACATAGATGACATATCAAATGTTTAAACTGAGAAAATGCATAATTTTAAGGGGAAAATAAGTTGATTTTAAATTTCATGGCATCAACACATCTCAAAAAAGTTGGGACAAGGCCATTTTTACCACTGTGTGGCATCCCCTCTTCTTTTAATAACAGTCTGCAAACGTCTGGGGACTGAGGAGACAAGTTGCTCAAGTTTAGGAATAGGAATGCTGTCCCATTCTTGTCTAATAAAGGCTTCTAGCTGCTCAACTATCTTAGGTCTTCTTTGTTGCATCTTCCTCTTTATGATGCGCCAAATGTTTTCTATGGGTGAAAGATCTGGACTGCAGGCTGGCCATTTCAGTACCCGGATCCTTCTTCTACGCAGCCATGATGTTGTAATTGATGCAGTATGTGTTTTGGCATTGTCTTGTTGGAAAATACAAGGTCTTCCCTGAAAGAGACGATGTCTGGATGGGAGCATATGTTGTTCTAGAACTTGGATATACCTTTCAGCATTGATGGTGCCTTTCCAGATGTGTAAGCTGCCCATGCCACACGCACTCATGCAACCCCATACCATCAGAGATGCAGGCTTCTGAACTGAGCGCTGATAACAACTTGGGTTGTCCTTGTCCTCTTTAGTCCGGATGACATGGCGTCCCAGTTTTCCAAAAAGAACTTCACATTTTGATTCGTCTGACCACAGAACAGTTTTCCACTTTGCTAGAGTCCACTTTAAATGAGCCTTGGCCCAGAGAAAACGCCTGCGCTTCTGGTTCCCGTTTAGATATGGCTTCTTTTTTGACCTATAGAGCTTTAGCCGGCAACGGTGAATGGCGCGGTGGATTGTGTTCACTGACAATGTTTTCTGGAAGTATTCTTGAGCCCATGTTGCGATTTCCATTACAGTAGCATTCCTGTGTGTGATGCAGTGCCGTCTAAGGGCCCGAAGATCACGGGCATTCAGTATGGGTTTTCCGGCCTTGACCCTTATGCACAGAGATTGTTCCAGATTCTCTGAATCTTTGGATGATATTATGCACTGTTGATGATGATAACTTCAAACTCTTTGCAATTTTTCTCTGAGAAACTCCTTTCTGATATTGCTCCACTATTTTTTGCCTCAGCATTGGGGGAATTGGTGATCCTCTGCCCATCTTGACTTCTGAGAGACACTGCCACTCTGAGAGGCTCTTTTTATACCCAATCATGTTGCCAATTGACCTAATAAGTTGCAAATTGGTCCTCCAGCAGTTCCTTATATGTACATTTAACTTTTCTGGCCTCTTATTGCTACCTGTCCCAACTTTTTTGGAATTTGTAGCTCTCATGAAATCCAAAAGGAGCCAATATTTGGCATGGCAATTCAAAATGTCTCACTTTCAACATTTGATATGTCATCTATGTTGTATTCTAAATATAATATTGAAATTTGAAACTTCCACAACAAAGCATATGACCATAGTGACCACACACAAAGAAATGACAAGAACTTTCAAATTCATGCCTGGGTTGGATATTCCTTGGGGTTTTGGATCAAGGAGGATTTTTGAAGATTGAGCAATGTTGGAGGTTTCAGATTTCGCTTCTTCTTTGTCCTCAGACTGAACAGCAAAAAAGAGTGTGGTGCCATTTTGGATTGTGAAACTGAAATTGAATGAGTGCTGTTCAATTGATCCAGCCTCGTGCGGTGAAAGGGCAGTTGTGTTGAAAAAAATGACAAAATACCATAGTAAAACAAACAAAAACAAAACATTGGGGATTATTAGCCCAAGTCACACCCCTGCTATTATGGACTTGTATACTAAAATATTAATATTTAATTATTATAAAGTTGTATACCATCCCTACCTGGGACACTACCCACCCCAGGCCACCTCTGACATAACCCACATATCCCATTTTTTTCTTCTTTTCCTCTTGTTTCCTTTTTCTCTTTTGATGTGTATGTGTATTAGGTGCAAATCTCAGCTAAAATGTGATGCATTCAAAACGTTATGCATCTAAAGTATTTGTAGAACCAGCCCAAGGCAAGAAAACCTAGCCCCTCACCACACCAAATCCCCACCACCCCGGAAAGGGATTCACAGCCCACTGGGGATCCGACATTTACATTCACATTCACATTTAGGCTGCATAAAGTAACTCAGCCAGAACCGGCAACACTTCTCACAACACCCTCTGTACTCGTTACATCATAAGAAGAATGGCATCTACACTAATATTAGTTTCTCTGTTTATCCCGAGGTTTACTGTAGTCAGCCGGATCCAAGCCATATTCACATCAGATGGAGGACCTGTACATAGACACGACCACAACGAATGATGTATTTATATTGATGTCTTCAAATTGTTTGATTTTAAAGTTCTGATTCTTGTTCTTTTCTTTTTTTGTAAACAGAATTTGAGATTATTTTTCCTCTCAGTATTGCATGGCGGTTTATGTGATGTGTCCTGGGCTAGAAGTTTGAATTGGAAAGGGGTCTCTTGGAGTTTGGAGTGGGGTTACCTTTACTTTTTTTGTTGTTGTCTGGATTGTCTCTGTACATTGTGCAGTATGTCTGTTGTAGTGCGTGTCGGTGATCCAGGTTATATAAATGGTCGAAGAGACAGAGAGAAAATTATATCTGAAACTTGATCTTGTAGCTGTTTACAGTGTTGCAGTCTAGCAGCCGGGAGCCGCCATCTTGGATCACATACAGGGTCTCTTTTCAGAAGGAGGGGCTTCATAGAGACAGGAACTAAACTGGGGTGCGTTTCGCAACGAAAGCATCGTTAGCCAACTATGGTCGCAAGTTGGTCGCAATTTCCATTGAACTCTATTGGTAACGACGGAACTTGCGACCATAGTTGGCTAACGATGCTTTCGGGAAACGCACCTCTGAACGGTACTGACAGACTGAGGAAATAGGTGCTACTACAATGTCAAATAATGTAAAAAAAAAAATAAATAAATAGTGTTTTTTGAGCATTCAAGTATGACAACCTAGTCTAGTGGAGACCAAAAAACAAGTTAACATTTAAAATTTGCATAATAGTTTGCCATTTAAAATTCAAAGAATGAATTAACTAAAATTGTGCTTTAAATAATCATGTTTAATGCCTTTTATTGTAAATAAATGTTTTTGTTCATTTGTATTTAAAGGTGCTCACATTTCAGAGGAAGATGAAGCTATATATGCGAAAACTAAATGAGAATTCAAAATGAGATAGCAATAAATGTATGGAAAAATATTCAGATAATTAGAAAGTCTGTTTGATAGAGATGATTGTTTTAAGAACTATTCATGTTGGATGCACATGGTTATGTTCAATTTACACATAAGGATTGATTTTGATTGTTTGCAATTTGTTCAAATTGTTAATTCCAGATAATGCTTTAACCATGGTGTTTTCTGCGCCTCACTGCCCATGTGGTTAAAGCAGCAACAAAGCATATGACCATAGTGACCACACACAAAGAAATGACAAGAACTGTCAAATTCATGCCTGGGTTTGATATTCCTTGCGGTTTTGGATCAAGGAGGATTTTTGAAGATTGAGCAATATTGGAGGTTTCAGATTTCGCTTCTTCTTTGTCCTCAGACTGAACAGCAAAAAAGAGTGTGGTGCCATTTTGGATTGTGAAACTGAAATTGAATGAGTGCTGTTCAATTGATCCAGCCTCGTGCGGTGAGACGGCAGTTGTGTTGACTGCATGACCATTGCTGAAGCTTTCTCGAAGCATTTGAAGGTCATAGCTCCACCTGATCTCATAGGATTTCGCTTAGAGGAAAGAAATATGTCATGAAGACAATAAAATGAAAAGTATTTTAAATTCTGGTATAGTAATTGTGTGCTTTACCTGTCCCTTGGTCGAGGTCCTCACCAGGAGCCGTCCAGCTGAGAAGCACAGAGTCCTCCTGGATCTCAGCACTCAGATCTGTGATTTTGTTAGGTGGGAAGTTTGGTGGGGGTGAGCCTGATAAATCCACTGTAAAACTCTCTCCAGTGGCTGTTCTGGTAAAGCTTCCGACCTCAAGTGGTTCCTCAGAAACTGGAGGCTTTGGAGGGTTCAGCTCCACCACACCTGAAATTAGAGGAAGGACCTGAATCTGCTTTCTGTCCTAAGTTTTTCTTCAAGCAGTAGCTAAATATGTTGACATTTATATTCGTAACTTCAGGTTTGTGCAAGAATTCATTGACTCTTTCTGCAGGTTACATAGATACAAGTATTTTTACAAACGAGTAATTGAATCATCATCTTAAATGATTTGTTACAAACAATCATTCACTCAGGAACTAAACTTTGAGTCAAGCTACATTCTAATAATCAGGGTCCCCATGCAGTGTTCACCTCTCTCTTTTCACTGAGCACAGGATACCTGTTGAAGACCACTTCACTTGACTAATGTAAGGCATGATGGCCACGTAATTTGTCTAAGTATATGGTAATATAAATTACCATACGTCTGCGTAATATAGTAATATATTATGTGTACATAATAGATCCATATATGTATTTAATGAATTTAATTAATATAAATGTTCATATTTTTAATGCGAAAAATATCTGCTGTGATGTTTAATATGAAAATAATGTAATTTGGTTTTTTGGATATGTTTTATTTTATTTGATAGTAATCATGGAAGTTGCATTGTGATTTTTGTGTCTTGCACACTTAATACTCAGGAACAGCTGTGTACAAAACACACACTGGATTAATTATTACTCAACTTCTTTCCTCCCCAGTTTCACAGACAAAGCTTAAGCTAGTCCCAGACTAAAATGCATATTTAAGTTGTTTTAACTGAAAGCCACTTCCACTGATATTGGCATATGTTAAAATACGTAAGTGCCATTTCTTTGTCTCAAGATGCACTTTTTTTTCTAAGGCACATTTATAAAAGCTATTTAAAAGCCCTTATTAAACTAAAGCCTAATCCAGGCTTTATCTAAACACCGTCTGTGAAACCATGCCTTTTTTTTTTATATATATACAAACTTTAAAGTGTTGGAGAGATGCGCAATAACTGGTGGGGACATTTTGCTTTCCACTTCCTGTAAAGTATTGTATTGATGTAGCCTTTATAATCCCTATGTGCCATTTGTTGTGCCCTTCGAACTGATCGTGGAGCATCCCTTCGGAACAGAGTCTCACTTAAGATGGTAGATTAACCTGTGAAATCCACTTCGCAGGGCACTTTTGGTCGATTAGAATTCACTCGTTCAAAAAACGATTTTTTTCAAAATCGAAACAAGTGACTTACACAATTCTGCTATAAAAGAACTGCTGTAAACCAATAATATCACACTCACGATTGTGCTGTTGGTCTGAATGAAGGCATACATTTTCTTTTTTAAGTTTGAATGTATTTTCAAAATGACCAAGTGTTTACCGTTTACCACGTATCCAGGTACGTATGGGGCACCACCCCTTTTTAGCGGACTAAATCTGGCTTGTCCATCTTGATTCTTCACTCTCACTTTCAAGCTGCTTCTCCCATTTGTCATCTGTGTGAAATATCTGGAATAGACGCCATCATCTTTGAAAGCATCTGCTCCTGTAAAAGATGGATAATTAGTTGTATAATGTGGATTATTTATAATTTACCTTATTTATTTATATTTTAAGTTGAGTGCACACTTGAAACAAAAATGATGGGTAATTTACCTGCTCCATTGTCCAGGAGTTGTAATGTTTGTGTAGACCCAGTTTCAGACTCCAGCGTAGCCCACACTTCAGCCTTTATTATAGGCTTGTAATTCTGACTGACCTCAGCAAACACTATCATGGGTTTAGTGCCGTCACTTAACTGCTGGTTCATGTGGGTTTTGACCATAATAGGGGGAACATCAGCACGCGCCGCTTGACTTGTTACTGTTATAGTCAGAGACTGAAGTGTTGGACTTTGGATGCTGTACTTCCAGTCCCCAATCTACCAAACACATGGATAGTAAAAGAAGAAAAATAAGGTTTTTCTGTGAGTGTATTAGTTCAATAATCTTAGTCTGAAGTTGCTGTTGAACATATTTTGATCATGTTTATGTCTTGGCCCATGTCTTTTATTGTATTATAATAGTCCATGTTTAGCCTTTATGTTTATGGTCTGAACTAAATAACTGGATCATAAAAGTTGTCATACCTCTGCAGTTCCTGGAAGTTTTAAGGAGACTGTTTTTAGAGATTCTTCATGACTCATTTCTGTCTCACTGTAGATTGAGCCACTTGGTGACTGAATGGAAATGATAGGAACACTTTTTTCATAGATTATTACAAAGCTGGTTTTGTTACCAACAGTTTGATCCACTGTTACTGTCCCATTGAACCAGTCTGATGTTGTTTTTCCAACACTCTCTAGCTAAAAAAAATGATGATAAAAAAAAAAAAACCATTAAAATCATCAATGCTGATGACAGTCTCAAAGTAATAATTTTATCATGGGCATTGAGCGATCACCTGAACTGGTTCTTTTGTGTAATCTCCAGTTGATAATGTAAGGGAAGCAAACGCATCCATTAACTGGTTGGAGGTGACGTCATCACCGACATAGATAAATTTCCCCTCTATTTTCACCATGGAACATTTTGCATTACATACAAAACTGGCACTCATTTACTTTGATTTACTCAGATATAGATTACATATTTTTTTACTTACCAGTTTGATTTGCCATTTCCCACAGTGCAATATCTGCGTTTTCACTCAAAGCTATTGTGTGTATAATGGCGCCACTGTTTATTGCCGTCTTACTACAATCATTAATGTTGTCTGACGCCTCACCGTCCGTCAGAAATATGATTTCATCTCCTAATACATCCAAATTGTCTTTTGCAAGTACCTGATGGTTAGAAAATAGAGAGCATTTGCCTAGAATAAACTATATATACACTTCACATATTGCAAACATAAAATTAACAATTAATAATATTATGGTACCTGTAAGCCTAGCGTGAGGCCTTTACACACGTACGTGCCTCCACCTGCTGTTTTTGGCAACAGTTTGATGAGTTCCTCTCGTGTGGAGTCATTGCCAATAGTAGTCAAGGGGCTCAGAGTTGAAGCATCATCACTAAAGGACACAATTCCAACACTGGCTTGTTCCTCAATGATGTCACGCAGTAAAAATGTGGCAGCCTGCTGTAGTCGAAGGATTCTGGATTCCTAGAAAATGGAACTCATTTCATTTGTATGGTATTCAGTGTGCAAGGATAAAATTAAGCATTTCAAATGAAGTTTATGTTTCCATACTGTGTTCATGCTTCCTGAGACATCAAGGACGAGACAAATAACCCGTTGCATTCGCTGCACAATTTTGAAAGATGGCGCTGGTGGAGAGGACGGCATTGGTTTCAGAGAACGAAGAGCGGCTTTATCCACAGAATCCTTAAATATAACAGTCCATGTCGATTTGTCACATTTTTGATTTTGCAGGTTAGGGGCTTCATCATTGTGATCGTTTTCTTGGCAAAAAGTGATCACCTAAAAACAAAAAAAAAAAAAAAAAAGCCATCAAACAATTAGCATGTCAGTTTAAAATGTCTCGTTTTAGCCAGAGACTAAAAATAACAAAAACAAAAACTTGATTTTCAACGAGCCCTTAAGGGCCTTTGCAAAAATGAAAATACACAGACTTTTGTGTGGTCACGAATCTTTCACATGCATAAGGATTTTTTTTTTTTTGCTTGCTCACACGTTAGAATTTCCAAGTTAAATTCGTTACATAAGTGATTTGTGGATATAAGGTAAATTTGTGGACAAAAGGCCTTAAAATATGACACACTACCCCAACGAAAGACACGTTTTGAGCACTTTTTACAGTTTCAGCCGTTTGTTATGGACCTTTGAACTTGACAAATAGGATAATGCACAGTATTGCACCATCAGCTCATTTCAGCCCATTTAGCTAAGAAAGTCGGTATATTTTTATTTTTTGCAAAGGTCCCTTTAGGGGCTCTGTAATTATTTTTTGTTTCATCAGGCCACTGAATTTCAACTTTATATCTCATTGTAATGTCTAATGAACTAAAAATTAATATTAGCCTCATGTAATTCAAACTTTATTTTTTTCAAAAGTAACTTGTCAAGCAGCTGTTGCTAATTAAAATGTAGATAATAATTGTGTTTTGTAACATCCTAATGATTTGGCAAACAGAAGTCAAAGGCCCCAGGACAGAACTCATGTACTGTAAGTTTAATTAGTTACTAAAATAATTTACTGGAATGTGTGGAAAATCTGTACTTACAGAATCAAGGCTTGGTTGGTACATTATGGAGCTGTCTGTGTTTTGATCTGCGTTTGGAAAAAACTTGCACCCGTCGGCAGGTAAGGAAGTTTGTGGATCAATGCGACATAGTTGAAGAGATCCATCAGGAGTAGGTACATAATACAGTCCTTCAATGCTTTTGGTACACCTAAAAATAAGCAAGAATCAATAGTTATTGTAATTTCCAAGGACATTTTAAAAAATTCCTTCTTTTAATTAACAGTTTATGACCTTGTAGCTTCAATACGGCCTTTAGAGTGGTAGAATGGCTGTGTTTCACTATATTCATCAAAAACACCCCATCTCAGATGAGCCCATTCATGCACAAAGACCCTTCCTGCAAACAAACAAATAAACTGCTGGTAGAACAGACTATATTATAACACATATTATTATAATTACAACAGAAAACTACACAAAACCAACTCAAAGTCCAACTCAAACATAGACCAAACGTAACAAATATGACTTTTAGATGTCTTATTTAATTATAAATAGAAGGAGGATAAATAATGTTCACCTCTTGATCCGTAAGTCTGAACGACACTGTCATTTAGGAGGAAGTTTGGAGTGAAATGAATGTACTTTCCCTCTTCTCCACATTCACCATACTGATGAGTATATGGCTCCACTGAAGCAGCGTAATCGATTATTATTTTGGCCTGTGTTTGTCATAGAGATCGGGTCAGCAAATTCACATGTGAATGAAATTAATGGAAATTAATATTTTATAAGATATAATGGCATAATCCTCTTTACCTTTTCAAAGGACTCTGTTCTTGCTCTGGTAAATTCCTTACTATTCCAGTGAGATGGGACCAGTATCGTAGCTTCTTTAAAATAGACTTTTTTATCCAGTGCTTGATGAAGATGAAACGACCCTTCAGTGACCATGTCCTGTCAGAAGGAAAAGGTAAAATTAGAAAAAACTCTGCTCAGTGTATTTATACAAAAGTAATTAATATTTAATTCATGCATTTACAAATGCTGTCACCAAATTGTGATTAAATATAATATTTCTAAGATTAAAGAAATTAGAACACAAAATCTTCTATAATATCTCTCACAAAATCCACTAAAACAATGAATGCACAGAAAGTTTGTTAAATAGACAAAAATAAGGACATTCACCTTTATTTTATCAATGAGCGTCTTATCCTCTGGCACTTTTGAACTGATCGCAATGATAATGTCAACATAACCATTTCCATCTAGTTGGATTCCAGTGGAGGTGGACGACAGCAACGTCCATAATAACACAAACACCGTTCTTGAGTCCATAGCTGTAGAGTAGCCTATAGATGAACAGAAACTCCCGAACCTGTTTTGAACAACGTCAAATCAAAGATTAACTTAAAGGACCTGATCACAGATGGAATGTCATTTACTGGAATGGACTGAGTAATACCAATATAATAGAACTGGGTCATATCAATAAAAAAACACATTATTACAGTGCCATAGGGCAGCATGTTATCAACTATCAGATATTAACAGCTATTTAACTTTACATGACTGTTATTGAACAGGACAACAAAAGGTTCAATAACAAATCTTTTGTTAAATCTGCTTAGATTCAAAAATGCTGTTCAGATGTACCATGTTACTGTCTTTTGGGCAATACCACTCATTTTGTTTTCGATACGATACTGATACTTTCAAGGCCAGTCTCGTCAATACCGATTCACGATACTTCTAAACTGAACTTTTAAATTTGAACATTTCTTAAATTATTGAATTAATAAGATTAAAATGGGTGATGATACCCATTAAACATTATATTTGAAAGGCATTTTAACATTCAATATGCCTTAATTGGAATTTATTAAATTATATTTTTCTTTACACATGGTTAAAACGTTTCCTTGTTGTGGTAACCATGGCAATCTACAAAATATTATAGGCCTAAATGAACTATGATCACTGTAATGTTCATTTCAATGAAGGACTGCCAGTGCCAGGCTGTTGCACCAATAAAATGTAACATTTTTTTAACTAAATATATGAAGAGTTCAGATGCAAAAGCCTCTAAATGCCATTTGAAATTTTCTTCTTTAATGATGATTTTTATCAAACTTGTATATTCAAGTTCAGTAATTTCACTTAAATAACAATTAATAGGTAATTATCATTGCCGTTTAAGTGAAATCACTGAACTTAAATATACAAGCTTGACAAAAATCATCATTAAAGAAGAAAATTTCAAATGGCATTTAGAGGCTTTTGCATCTGAACTCTTCATATATGTTTCTGTCTTTTTTTTAAGCATTGTTTGAAGCACTGATCTAATGACAATCTATAGATCAGTGGTTAGAATGCATTGTTGGCAGTGTGTGTGAACGCTCTCTGCGATTGATTGGTTCTGACGTTGATTGGTTGATTGGTTCTGACACGATTGATTGGTTCTGACAGCATTTGCGTGTGTTCATTGAAGTGGTTCTACAACACAATTATTGTTAGGTTATTCTAATAATTTAATGCATTGTTTATTTAATGGTTATTTATCTAATTTAATGCATATTGTAAGCATTAGATTTCTTGTCAAATAAACAAAATCACTGGTAAAAAAAAACCTGTAGTAGCCTATCAATATTTTTATTTGAGTAGCCTATAGATTCTTTCGATTCTCGACGTCAATATCGATTTACCGATACTTTGTATCGATCCGTCCATCACTAACTGTCTTTAATAATTTCTGTGCATGATAATCTAATGCCACATTCACAATAACATAATTTAAACATTTTAAATGAAAATAACATTTTTCTAAACCTAAAGTGTCTTCACGTTACTTTACAACTGTAGTGTGATGAGGAGTGTGACTGTGAACTCAGTGAAAACTTTACAGTGGATGGGAAACTGTTATTGTTCCAGCATCATATTGCCGTTATGACAATGAAATGCCATAATAATCTATCAATAAAAGTGCACACTTTGTCATCTGCTGACGCTGCAGACTGAAGAACATGCTGATACACTGACTAAAAGACAGGGAGGAGCCGCCGATTGGGACTCAGGCTATCAATTTTTTTTTTTTTTTTTTTTTTTTTTTAAGATTACGGAGCTAACAACATATTTTAAGGTGGGCTAAAGTACTCCTAAAAAGGTCCTGTAGGCTATGCTTGGTGCACAGCAAACGGTTATTCACAATTAATGTTATTCAATAAAAAACGGGAGCAAAGTATGAGAATGCGTTGAAATCTCACTGCAAAGTTTTCTAGAAACTTTCCAACAGGGAAGAATGTAATTGTTGATATCAAGAATTCATATCCTGGAAATGAATAAAAGCTAAAACGGCTTGCCATAGTTGATGCGCTTGATGGCCCAGAAAGCAGAATCGATCAGAGAACCACAACCAAATCTCAGGGTTTGTTGTGTTTTACGATGGACATAGCATCAGCTCACATTTCAATTATTAGCCTACCAAATGCTAGTGAAGAGATAATCTACAGAATGTCACTGTCATATTCGTTTGTTAGCATGTGTCCCTGGTATCGTCACATTGATTTGTAGAATGTGATTTGTGAACCTGCAAATTTGAGAAGATGTTATTTTTTGTTTGTGGGAGAGAGATAAAAAAAAGTCTGAAACTCTTAAAACATTTCTCTCTGTGACTTAAATACACATGTGTGGCTATGTATTTAGCCACACATGTGTATTTAACGCCCCCCCATGGTGGACACTCCCGTTGAGAAACACTTCATCTACTCCGATACACAAGGTGGTAGTAAGGAGGTCACGATGTAATGTTATCCAAACACAAGCGGGAGCAGCAGAAATAGCACAGCAAAGCAAAGCAAAAGGTACATTTTTCTATCAAAGTATATGCCTTCCAACAGGGGGCGCTTGATGGCCCAGAAAGCAGAATCGATCAGTGAGCCACATCCAAATCTCAGGGTTTGTTCTGTCTCACGGTGGACAGTTGTACACCTAAATTAATAATCATTAAATTAAACAGATTCCTCTGTGACAGACAAAACAAAAATAGGCCATAATAATCTGTACACGAGTATTAACCAAACTCATTATCAAATATTCACAATTGACTGTCCTTGGTCCATCGTAATCAGCGATGAGAAAAGTAACATTTATCACGTGACAACGCCAGCTTTATGACCAACACAAATAACGTTCTGGGCAATAATTAACATTTGTAAAACAACAATTGTTGTTTTTAAATGACGTTAAATTGAAAATACACAATGAAGAGTCACAATAATTGTACACCTATCGTATCTTATAAATTAGAAGCATCGTTCGGATCGCTAACCGGCCTCTGTCAGATTACATGGTTCAGGCTAATGGCCATTCTACCAGCTCGCTCTATTTCTATGAGAAACCAAGATGGGAAAAGGCAGAGTATGAAGTAAACAGATGTTCTGTGTCTGGATATCATTCAACATATTTCATAATCAACAACCATCTAAATGTTTTTACGCATAATGTCATTTCGCCAATTTACTGCGTTTGGGTCGATGCGGAGGCGTTTTCGATGAATCTCTGCTGCATTACAGTATGTGCAGGAGGCCTACAACTTAACAGGTTTGTGTAGACTGGGAATGCTAATAATGCTGTTGAGGTTTACTGAATTTCAATTATTTTAATAATGACTTGACCTAATTAACGTACAATGATGACTTGCATTGGGGTCCACATATCAGAGACCACTAACGTTAGTCAAAATGAATAATTGTTTTTCCCCCTTTACAAATGTTATGATTGACATTCGTTTTTAATAGACAATAAATATTTAAACAAATGCAATAATTTCTTATGAAATAAAAATGGACAATTATTGTTTGTTTATGGAACACACGAGTTTATTATAATTGACATATTTTTTGCATGCCATTATTTTATTATTATTATTATTTTATTCATGTTCACTCATAATCTATGAGGTGTGCAAGGCATGAGGGCGGAACAATAATAATCCCTCCCCACCAGCATCCTGTCACTCACATGAGATTGTAGCAATTTTCAAACGACAATCGAATACATTTCAATGGATAAAATTAAGATCAAAACATAAAAGATTTCTACATTTTTATCTCTCCTTTGAGAAGTAGTTTCACTCAGTTGTACATCACAATAGATCAAAAAATGCGATTGTAATTTCTGTTTCATGACAATTTTAGTATTTAGTACGCTCCCCTTTTTACGAATGGCTTTACACGGTTAGTGTCAAAAATGACTTACTGATGGGCCATTCTCACATTAAAATAGTAGCCTAAAATTATTAAAAAGGCAAGGTTTATAGACACGTTTTTCATATTTATAAATTTTAATTTACCTTTTTTGGAACACCATACGCGAGATGGCGCTAGACCACACGCTAAAACACAATGATCAATGAAACATTTACATAGAAAAAAATAGCAGTTCAGTGCATTATGTGTGAACTTCCACTTATACTAAGATATTTCTTATTTATTTTACATCGTAATGTTTCCTTGTTTTGTATTTCGAAAATTCTAAAGCTTAAAAAGTCATTTTTCACATTTAAATTATATTTTGAGTCCTAGAATTCCATTGTGGTCTCAGACCTCACATTATGTAAAAGTACTGACATGAAATGAAAGTCAGCATGAAATGGAAGTTATGATAATGTTTTCTTCCCCTTTGTGAATGTTTCTTACCCCCCCCCCCCCATTTTTTCTATAAAAAAATAATGAAGTCAAAGGAATAAATCATTTTTAAAAACATACTACAATATTCCATAAATCACACAAGAATTGTCCATTTTGATTCCATGATGATGCTTTTTAAATGCATTTTAAATTTGTTAATGAGAGTTCGATCATCTGAATGAGTTTTTAAATCTGCCCTCTTTCTGTAGTGGGTTGCATGTTTAGGGTCCTCAAACAGGAAGGACACCATGAACCTGAATGAGAAGAAGCCCAACAAGTGGTGGACAGAACCAGACACGTTTGCCATGCTGGCCCTCATAGAGCAGATGGGTCTGGTCCACGAGCTGGACAAGAAGCGTCAGCGCAACGAATCCCTCTTCCGACGCCTCCGCTTGAGTCTGGCAAAGCGGGGCATCCACTTCACCGTCACCCAGATCCGGAACCGCTGGAAGAGCCTTAAACATAAGTACCGTAAGATCAAACTGGCCAGCTACCGAAGTCCAGCCGCACGCCTCTCTGCCGTCGAGTCTTTCCGCTACTTCCATATGCTGGATCACATGTTGGTGCGCAGACCAAAGACGGGAAGCAGGGAGGACAACCTCACAGATGGTCATGACCTTCTCGGACGGTCACTCGCAGACCTGGATGACCACACAGACAGTACTGCCGCTCATTATATTTTTGCAGTTTATTTGTGCAAAGGAATAGTTCATC